GTGGATCCTGGTATGGATTTTAATTACGGATACCTGCGGTAGTTGGTTGCCTGCTAAGAAGCACATATGAGGGCAGTTAACTGCTCCTTTTTGGTTGCAACTGCATGCCCGGTTTTGATCTTTGTGCACTGTCATCTACAACAAAGGAATTTTGTAAATTCCACCTCTCGAGTCCTAATATGAACAGCGAAGATGTAACCAGGTCGGCCTGAATATTTTGAGACCACTGCCCCATGCATCATCAACTATATCTGAGGATTTTGCTGTTCATTTCCCCGAACTCGATGGTAGCCCACAGCGATAAGGCGTTTCCAACAGCCGGTCCATCGGTACCAGCCAAATGTAACACTGGGAAATTAGAGGCTTCGTGCAGTGGTATGGTTGGTGGCTGTGTGTTTATCGGGTCCAGTTCGGTAATCTGTTAAACATATGTCCCGTGAGTATAGACCAGATAAACTTAAACATGGACAATCCTACAGACCACGGATTAGGTTATTGGTAGTGAACCAAAAATATAAGAGGCTATTCCAATTAGTGTAAAGTGGATGTCGATGGGGACTCTAGCGGACAAACAATACTGCGGTCAACCATCTTTTCCAAGTCCACTCCCCGGCCGCTTCAACTTCCCCAAACAGCAACTCCCAGCATGCATCCAATCTCTGCAGCTTCTTTGAACCCAAAACACCACTTACAATACATGAAACATGCACACTCACGTCAAAATCCCCATTGGACGAATCACATGCTTCATAAGCACTATGAGCACTTCGCACTTCCACAGACTCTTGAAGCCGGCCATAGCTCCTGTCATCACATGCCCCTAACCCTAACGATGGCGGCCATAACAAAGAGCCCAACATGTCCGTCCAACAAGCACCACCTGTCACCTCTCCCCCATTCTTTATTCCCCAAATAGCCCACCCTCCAACATCCCCTTGCTCGCTCCCCACCCCTTCACCGTCCACCATCTCCCATCCCCACCGCCATCTGAAACACCCCATCACCCCTCCGCCCTCTCCACGCCAGCCAGGTGCAACTTGCCCCCCCCCATTCCCACGCACCATATAACCCCCCCCCATCTCCCCGCCGTACAGCGCCCCCCAAACATAACCACCCCCAAACCCAACCATGCCCACCCCCACACCCGCATCCATGTCCCCAGCCGCCCGCAACGACTACCGCTTCACCTGCCACCTCTGCTCCCACGCCAACCTGCTCCTCAACGCCCACCCCGCGCGCCCGCCGCCGCCGGGGCTGCTGCGCACCTGGCGCTGCGGCGGGTGTGCGGCGCGCGGCGTGCGCCATGTCAAGTGTGCGGACTGTGCGTTTGAGCGGCGGACGCGCGTGCCCATCGGGCGGGGCGGGGGCAGGTGGATGCGGGGTGTTTGGGGTAAGGTGTAATAGACTACCACTGGAAAAAAGGCGTAGAGAGCGGGCTTCGGCTGGCCGATCTGGAGATGACATAAAGCTTACTGAGCAGCATATAGAGAGGCCTACAGGTCTCACGGCATAGCAGGAGTTTGGGCATTTACACAGAGCATAGAGCATATAACACAACACGCATAGACCTGGCAGACACCATCGCGGATGGTGACGTCGCTAATCACCGGCGCGGGAGTTTACAGGCATAACACTTCATTGTTCAATATACATACATACATTAATCCACATTCCCATTGCATTGGTATCATGGCGTTTATAGCGGATCTACATATACATATATACAATACATACATAGATACATAGACCTAGCGTTACATTTACATTTTTTCTGCCGCTTGCTCCATTGTGCAATACAGCTTTCCGTGAAACAAACTCTGCTTTTTTTCAAGACGTCTAGTTGATATGATGCATGTGTGACAAGCCCCGCCCCGCAAACGCTAGCCCGGGCTTCCTTAGAGTACATACTCTAATTGCCTAGCACCCAGGCCGCCGCCATTGACCAAACTAGCCCGAAAAAAAGCATATCTGCTCCATATCGAGGGAAAATAAGCAAAGAACTTCACAAATCGACTAATTTATTTTTGCGCTTCCGCTAGGTGAGATCGATATCCGCAGCTTAATTTGCCGCAGATGGATGGATGTTGATGCAGATTTCTCGGGCTCCCCGAGATGGGTTAGTTGAGTTTCGTTTCGCTGGAGGGCTTGAGTGCGATTGGATGTCTGCGGCTGCTGGAGCTGGTGTAGGCGATGCAGTAGGTGGGTACTAATACTTCCTTACGCCTGGTCAGTCTCTGCTGTATCGCATGTAGTCACTGGCAAACCACACCTGCATCCGCGGCCGCAATAAACAAATCAACAAACACCTCCGCCGCGCCGGCCGGCCTTTGCCAGCATCCCCGGCATCCGTAGGGCGCACCACCCTCCCTACATGGAGTACTCGGGATTCCAGATGGAGTAGACAGCCCTACACCTTTCCACCATTCCACCGTTCAGCTAAAAGCCTCACGGCGTTGGCAATTGTCTGCCCATCCATGTCACGCGAGCTTGTATCTATGTATGTATACCAGCACCACCGCAATGCACGTCGACCCCCAGCCGCGCCGGCCGTTATCGATCTGCCCCACATGCACAACATACTCTGCGTCCCTGCACCCTCACGTCTCGATACTCGGGCTTCCCGCGGGCCCCTCTCCGCCATTCCCCGCCATTCGCAGCCGGTACGAAAAAAAAAATGAAACGGCAGAGTGCAAACGAAACTTAAATTTTGCGGCTGCCCCATGCGCCCCCTGGATTGGCTGGATAGCAGGCAGCCAATGCAGCTTCGCGACACAAACGAAAACTAGCAGCAGCCAGCACCCGCAGATGCAGCAGAGCCGCGCGGCGGGAGAAAAAAAATCAAATCGCCTCAGAGGGACAGGCGGACAGAGGGCTGTGGTGCCCGCCGCCACGCTGGCATGGCCATGCAAGAACTTTTTTTTGCGCCGGAGCTTGCAGAGGGGAAAAAGACGGTGCGGTGCGCTGGCTGGAGAGGAGAGGAGAGGAGAGGAAAACACGGCCCGGGGCTCGCGAGGGGCCGGTCAATTGCCCAGCACCACGTCTCCTACGCGCTGCTGCTGTTGCGTTGATAATTTCGTGCCCGTCGTATGAGGTGATGTAGATGGAGACTCGGAGAGCTAGCGGACAGGAGGAAGTTCCGGCGAGACGAGAAGCAAGCCCTATGGTAGACCGAGCATGACATGACAGGGCCAGTCTTTTCGCAGGCGCCCCTGACGAAGAAAAAGGTGCACCACCATCGAGCAATAAGAGGCAGCCATGGGATGCACATACGGTGGTGCTACACCCCGAGCTACGGCGCGGTGCAGAAGTCACGCCGGCGCCCTCGCTCCTGCGCCCTGAGAACAAATTTGCGCATGGATATAAACAAAAAAAAAGAAAAACCGGAAACAGGGAGAGCAGGCAGGCAGGCACGCACACGCACAGCGCGTATCGACCAGGAAGAAGGCTGCCAGCTGAGCCGCCAGCGTCGAGGGGGTGGAAGCGCACAAGCACAAGGGGGGTGAGGAAGCATTGGAAATTTTTTTCAGTCTGCGACTCACTCAGCTTTCTTCACCTCCCTCGCTCCCTCGCTCCTCCCCTCCCTCCCCCTTCGCTCGCAACAGCTTCACGATACGCTTGCTTTCGCCGGAATCTGCACTGCTTCCCTTTGCCCCGTCCTGCGCATCGACTCCGAATTCCCCATCCGCGACCCCTACCTCCCGACAGCTCCAGCTCAGCTAGCTAGCTCGAGCTCCAGCTCCACGCGACACCCACGCCCTCCTCCCACGCCCTCCACGCCCTCCACGCCCCCCATCCTCACCATGTGCCTCTACGAGCTCTGGATCTACTCCAAATGCCAGCGCTCGTCCTCCTCGGGCTCCAAACCCCACCAGACGCTCTACATCGTGCACGCGTGCGCGTCCGCGCGCTGCGACCCCGACCTGGACGCGGTGCGCACGATCCGCCGCGACCGGCACTGTCCGGGGTGCTTCGAGGCGCTGCGCAGCACCATGGGCGGGTGCGGCGAGATGTGCTGGCACGACGGCCGCGAGTGGATGTGGGACGAGCGGCTGCACTTCGGCACCGCGCTGCTGGACCTGGTGGCCGCCGACGGCAGCGACGCGGCCAGCGGCGTCGCGCTCGACGGCGGCAGCGGCGTCGGCGTGCGCACCGACTCCCGCTTCCGCGCCATGGCGCGCCGCTGGAGCGGGTGGGAGGACTTTCGATAGCGGCGGGCGGGCGGCAGGCTAGCGGCGGGCCGGCGCAGGGGTGCAGGCTCAGGCACCAGGGAAAGGGGTGCGAGGCGAGCGAGGCGAGGCGACACCAGGCGGGGGTCGGTGGTGCTACATACGGACACATACACACCGACGCGTCGGACAGGCGAATCTGCATAGCGAGGGAGTTTTTTGGGCGCGACCGGGCGAGCGAGCGAGCGAGCGAGCGTTGCGTTGTAACATGCAAAGCCTGAAGTCGCTGATCTTCAGGGCACATCACGGATTGGATTCTTTTTCGTTCTTCATTAGGGTATATATTTGGGCATGGCACGTGCATTGGGTTCTATTTATTTTATTTTTCAGCGGTGGAAGGAATGGAAGGAACGGGAGAGAGATAGATGATCACCCGCGTACAGTGAGCGGGACATAACGGGACGGGACGACGCGACGGGGTTGAAGGGGGAAGGGGGCGGCATGGGGGGCATGGGCATGGGCTTGGGATGGACCTTGTAGATACATGATTACCGTTCTCGCGCAAAATAGGGCGACACAGCTGTACTGTGTACTGTTTACTGTGCAGAGATACAGAGCACCTTCGTAATAATAGATAAACTTCGCTTCTGCACTTGACTACCACATCATCCTACCCACCTCATCAAGCCCCCCCAAAAACATGGTCATGGATGGCAGTGACAACGCGGCGCGGCGAGACACGAAGCGCGTCCGCGTCCGCGCCGGCATGGCGGTCGCGGCTCATGCGACAACTCTCATGAATATAGGTGTTAGAAATGAGAGAAGCAATATCGGGTCAAGGTGGTGGAGTGGTTAACACGTTCGCCTGCTAGTCTCGGCAACGAGAAAGCCCAGCGGATGCCTTCGGGCGCGCAGGTTCGAATCCTGTCCTTGACGTCTTTTTGGTATTTTGAGTTTTTGCGGATTGTAACCAGACTTTTGCTGCACAGTAGTAGTACGAATACATCCATCATCATCCATCATCAATCACATGGTGAGGGCAGTATAATGGATGGTTTCACTTGAACAAGCTACATGCATGGGCTGGTTGACGATGCATCGACTGAACAAATTATGTCTATTTTGTTCAATCCTGCTCTCTCTTGTTGCAATATTGATTAAGCCAAGAGCTCGTACACCTGACTGATATCATATCGTATGGGCATAGCAGGATGTTTTATTTAGTACCAATACCAAATATTCTTGACGTTGCACTACCAGAAGACCCTTCTCACACCCGCACGTCAAAATAAAGTTTTGCCTCATGAGCTATATCCAACGTGAACTTCTAAATCCAACGTGAACCGGAACGTCCATTGGTCAGTGATTTATCCTTCCTGGGTCCTTCCTGCCACATGGAGGAGTGGCAAGCACAAACAAGTCCATGCACCGGGTGGCAAACCCACATCTCACCACCTGTGTCTCCTACCAAACAGGAAAGGACGGTGGCAAATCGGCACTCGCTTCTGTAGAATTGCCACACTTTGTTTCCACCGCACTCGTACGTATTGGCACATGATGTCTTCTGTGTAGGTACTCAAGCACGTCTGAGTTATCATACACAGCTCCAGCATCTCCGCATCTCCTCATCTCCTCCTACCGTGATATATACACCTCCACCCCAAAGTTCCCTCCATAACCACCACCACCACCACCACCACCACCACAAGCACGCAAAGAGTCCAAAAACAAACGCCAAAACGCCATCAAATTATCGAATGTACATCCATCTATGCCTCCACCGTTCAATCCCCCGCATCCGTCTCCGCAATCGGGTTGGCATGTATCGTCACGCCCGTGATCAGCACCGGCGACTTGGGCCGGTTCTTCGCGTCCACGGGCTCCTTCTCGATCTTGACCAGCGTCGTGTCGATGCCCTCGATAACCTATTCACACACGCATTAGCCCTTGCAAATCCCCCCCTCTCTCTCTCTCCTTGCTCCCCTCCCCTCTCTCTCTCCCTCCCCTCCACCCTCCCTGCATGCACATACCTTCCCAAACACCGTATTCCTCCCATCCAAATGCGTCGCAGTGGCATACGTGATATACCACTGGCTCGCATTCGTATCCGCGCGGCTCTTGTTCGCCATCGCGACGACGCCGCGGCCGGTGTGGCGCAGCCCGGGCTTGATCTCGTCCTCGAAGTACGGCGCGTCGGGCGTGCTGTAGATCGACAGCCCGCCCTTGCCGTTGCGCTTCTCGCCGTCGCCGGTCTGCACCATGAACCCGGCGATGTTGCGGTGGAACGGCACGTCGGTGAAGTACGACGACGCGCACAGCGCCAGGAAGTTTTCGCACGTCTTGGGCGTGGCTTCGCAGAACAGCTCGAGCTTGAGTGGGCCGTGCGTGGTGTGGATGGTGACTGACATTGTTGGGGGCTGATTGGGGTGTGGTCTGGGCTGCAGAAAGGTGAGGTTGGAGAGGGAAGGGTGCACGTGCAGATCATGTTGAGCCGCACTACGCTGCGCTCAAGCTCGACCCGGAACTAATGCAACAGAACATTCCCCAGAGAAACAATGTTTTCTTTTCACAGTCTATTAATCACAAGTTTTCTGCCCAATTTTTCTTCAGTTTTTTATTCCAGCTACCGCATGATACTGCAAACCATCTTCCTCTTGATTCGACCCTCCAAATTCAACATCTACAACCACACACCATGTAATAGCAGTCATTTGCTAGGTAGAGTCAAACTTGATAATAAGAAACAATCCAATCCACTCCGCCAAATTCCATCCCAACCTGTCCCAACAAACGTGAATATAGGTGAACACCAGAAACTTAATAAAATCGACCACACACCCAGAAAGTCCTGCCCTCGCTAGTCTGATTCCATTAATTGTGAAACGTCACCTGGGATAAAAAATAATTCATAGATGAAGAGTCAATGCTAAAACTTCCAGGATATAACTATCCTTAGATGTCGCCTCAGCTCTTCACAGAAAGAGAAAATACAAGAATCGAAGATAAAAATGTAACCAGTAAAAATTTCGACTATATTTAGTCGGTTGACGGTGTAGAGGGGGGGGGTCAAGCATAGGTAAGAGAAGTTAGAACATCGGTCTAACAGAGACGAGACACTAAAAAGCCAGCCGAACTCCAAGCAATAACTATGAACAAGAAATTCAACGAAGAAAAGCACCATCATTAAAATCAAAAGCTAGGTCGTAAGAACATTCAGGGTGATGACGAGCTCGGGGGTGACTTGGGGACATTCAGGTCGTCCTTGAACCGGCTTGAGCTTTTTTCTGTTATTCTTCGACTGCCAGGTGACTCTTCAATCTGAAGGCTGTCATGATCCATGGGATTCCCGAATTCTGCCCCCTGAACCTCGTTTTCAATTGTCTTCTGCCAGTGTTCTGGCAAACAGACGCAGACCAATGGGAAGGCCTTGATTTCGCCAGTAGGAGGAGAAGATGCTCGGCGCTGACTAGCTCGAGAAGTTTGAGAAGCTGAAACTCCACTGTCACGCATACCACGGCGACCAACATGGTCTTCGGCCCGGTCGTTCAGAAGAATGCCGGTAGCCCAGCCTGTATAATATTAGAAATAGTAGCAAGTTATGTCAAAGCGTTCTTACCATCGTCCCAAATCCCAACCACTTTGAGCATGTCACCTCTCTCTAGTTCAAATTCATCTTGAGCACGGGGTGCGTATGCCCACAGAGTAGATACTCTGTCTCCTGGGTGAATATCATCGGTAGAATAGTAATCTTTGAAATAGGCAAGTTGCTCAGACTGGGGGCTGGATGCAAAATCTGGGGAGGAAGCGTTCTTCTCACTGACGGTCATTGGCGAGGCTGGGTCGGATATTAAAATTGAAGAACTTGATAGCGAAGCGTTTCTTCCACGAGGCGGAGGATGCAGAGGACGATGATGAGGCGAATGCTTTCTTTGTGATTGAGGACTGTCATCCAACCCAAAATCCGACGATGAAGAGTTATTCCCACCCCGAGGATATACCACTTGAGGTTGTGGAGATGCTGGTCCGTTTGATGCCGTATCTTCCAGAGCAGACATGCGTGCAACACGTCCACCAGCCAAAACCTCATAACCTTGTCCAGCAGTCGCAGGATTGACAGTGGTGAATGTCATTGATGGCGGACTCCTAGCTGTGTGATTGAAAACACCGATATCACTCTCTTGATATCTTTTTCGTCTCCAAACGAAAAGTGCCAGGAATACCAATGCCCCAACAGCAAGAAGAACACCAATCGTAACCCCGGCGATTGCACCTCCGGAGAGGCCACTGTCTGAATCATCTTTATTCGGTGAAGAGGTATTAGTATTCCTGGCACTACTAGTTGCGGATGGTTCAACAAGTGGTGGTAAATTTGTGATAGTAGGCAATTCGATTCCTATACATCTTGTTTGGGCATTGGCATTATAGCAGCAAGTATCCGTGGAATCTGGTGAGCTTTCTGCACAGTAAAGACACAGGCCGGGCAAATTATCACTAAAAATGATTAGCCATGAAAGAAGTTTTTTTCAGCCATCCATACCTGTAACCACAATTAAGCGGTTCGTTATCAACTGCCTGTATGCAAGACTCTGCCAGTGAGTCGTCGGGAAGATTACAAATTGTATAGTCCGAGCGAATGAGGTCATCGATATTCTTGTCTTCTGCATCATTGCCCCCGCAAGATTCCTCGTTCGAGACGATGATCTGCTCGCTCCTTGCAAAGTGAGACTGTAAAGGTTGTGAGAAATTTATAGATGCGACATGGAAGGGTAAACCATACGCAAGTATCTGCACAGACAGGCGTCGATTCACGGTCGGAGAGGTTGCATTCAGACTTTGAGTCCTGGATCATACGAGAACAGAGAACTGTTTGGGTATACCGTGCGTATAGATCCGTGGTATTTGAAAGGGTGATATTTGAGCAGCCAAAAAGATTTTGAAACCTGAGGACTGGTTGTTAGACATGATATTTATACATTCTGCAGAGTTTTTCATACTTGAACTGGACATAATTCCCTTTAAGATAATCAACAAACTTTGTATCGAATTGTTCGGTATTTGAGACGAATGCAAGAAAAGGACTGTTCAGAATGGTCAGCCACAATTATCCCATGACAAAGCCTGTGCTTGGAATCCTCACAATGTGCCCTGTAGTGCCTTGGAATTCGAGATCTGAGAACTTTTGAAAGCCGAACATGCTGTGGAATTAGAAAGTGAGATACATTCAGCTGCAACTGTTGTCAGGAGCATTGATGATATCAACATCATTGAAATTCCTCTTCCCAGAATCGAGTCTCTCCGCTTTATTTGTCCGCGAGTTCGTTGGAGACGTGAGGGTTCATCGTAGTCCAGTTGGTAGGGATGGCCTATCACATCGGTAAGGTCCACCTGGTCGTCGATAATGTGACCATGGTTTGAATAAGTTCGAGAGGTTGTTGTCGTCATGGACTCCCCGCGTCGCCAGCTCTCACGAGCAGGCTATCGTATTCCAGCTTTACGATCAATTTGGATAAACCAAAGGCGAAAGCAAATTGCTGAGCGGAAATACTGGAAAAATTGCGCCGGGCGTAGCCGAGAAGCCGGGCAATTTGTAAATGAGTGACAGAAAAGAAAGAAGGAAGGAGGGGGGGGGTAGGGGAGCCGAGAGGTGCAAAGGAGTGTGAAGATTCTCGAGAAACAAACGAACGAGTGGCACTACACGTTAGGAGGGAGCAGGCGAAGAGTGAGATGGGCAGCGGCCACCGCTTTCTGTAGAGTACACTATTGACCCCAGACGAAGACAGAGCGAGCACGGCAGAGACCAGGGCTCGCATGGAACTATACCAACATCAGTTAGCCGACCTGCCTCGTGAGATTACGGAGTAAATGCACAAGAGCTCAGGTACCGCTACTACTTAGACGAGAAGCAGCCCTGAGTGGGTTGACCAATAAAAAGCCGC